CCAAAAATAATAAATTTAGATGGTCTGATTTTTTTGAGTTCTTATTTATTATAAATATTAGTCCTTTGTCTGAGGAACAGCAGCAAAAATTTTTTCCCCAGTCTCTTCACTCTGTTGGTGGTTTCTTTTGCTGTGCAAAAGCTTTTTACTAAAATGTGCTATCAGTTGTTCTTTGTGATATTTCCTGGTGGCTGGGGTTTTGTTCATGAGTCCTTGCCTACTTTATGTCCTCAACAGTTCCACCTAATCTCTCTTCCAGCAGATTTAGTGTTTCTGTTTTAATATTTAGATCTTTGATTCATTTTTATTTTAGGGTTAGTGTGTGGTGAAAGATACAGATCTTGTTTCAATATTCAGCATGTGGAAAGCCAGTTTTTCCAGCATCATGTATTAAAGAGGCTATCTTTCTTCCAGTGAAGCTTTTTGGCTCCATTGTTAAAGATAAGGTGGCTAAGTATGTCTGGAGTTGTTTCTGCATCCTCTAGTCAGTTCTGTTGATCCTCAGATTTGTTATTTTGCCATTACCATGCTGTTTTTATCATAGTAGCTTTGTAGTATAATTTTAAGTCAGGGATTGTGATGCCTCCAGCCTTGCCTTTGTTGTCCAGAATTGATATTGCTATTCTAGGTTCTTCTGGTTCCAAATGAATTTTAGGATTGTTTTCTCTTATTCTATGAGATATGCTATTGGTATTTTGATTGGGACTGCATTAAATATGTATAACAATTTTAGAAGTATGGCCATTTTCACTATATTCCTGCTTCTTACCCAAGAACAAGGGATATGTTTCCATTTTCTGATATCCTCTTAATCTCCTTTTTCAAAGTACTGTAGTTTTCAATGTAGAGATCTTTTACTTCCATCATTAGATTTATACCTAGGTATTTAATTTTTTTTGGAATGCTATTGTGAAAGGGATTGATTCTCTAATTTCCTGTCTCCATGAGTCTGTCATTCATGTATAGGAGGGCTATTCATTTTTAGCATTGACTTTGTATCCAGCTATGTCATTGAGTTTGGTTATCAAATCTAAGTCTTTTGATGGAATTTTTGGGATTGTCCATGTAGAGTATCATATCACCCACAAATAATGATAAATTCACTTCTTCCTTTCCTGTCCTTATTCTTCTCATTGCTTTCTCTTGCCTAATTGCTCTGGCTAACGTTTCTAGAACTATACTGAATAAGAGTGGTTACATCCTTGTAAGATTGAAAGCTTTCAGTTTTTGTCCATTTAGTATGATGTTGGCTGTTGGTTTGTCATAGATGGCTTTTATCAGATTGAGATAAGGATCATCTATTCCAATTTGCAAGGTTCTTTTTTTTTATCATGACTTGGTGTTGGACTTTGTCAAATGCTTTGTCTGTATCTATTGAAAAGATCATATGGTTTTTATCCTTGGCTTTGTTGATGATGTTTTGCTGCATTCTGTTTGCCAGTGTCTAATTGAGGATTTTTACATCTGCATTTATTAGGGAAATTGGCCGGTAGTTCTCTTTTTGGTTGGATCCTCTCTGGTTTGGATACCAGGATAATGCTTGCTTCCATCTATGACCATACCACCCTGAATGCCTGAATGTCAGGCCTCATTAGTACTTGGATGGGAGGATAATGCTTGCTTCCAGGAATGAATTTGGAAGTATTGCTTTCCTTTCTATTTTATTAAAGTGTGATTTCATCTTTTTCTTTGTTAATTACAGGGATTTGAGTCTTTTCTTTCCTTTTTTTAAAAAATAAGATTGGCCAAGGGTTTGTCAATTTTATTTAATCTTTGAAAGAACTCTTCAATTCATTGATTCTTTGTATTGTTTTCTTGGTCTCAATTGAATTAATTTCTGTTCTGATATGTATTATTTCCTCCATCATATGAGCTTTGGGCTTGATTTACTGTTTTTCTAAAAGCTTGAGATTCAACATTAAGTTGTTTATTTGAGCGCACTCTGTTTTTCTCACCTCTATAAATTTATCTTGTAGAACATGCATCCCATGGGCCCACTTCTCTCCTTCTCTTCCTCACATTGCAATATTCCAGCATCTGGATACCAAATCTCAGAAAGGCTGTTTCTCTGCTACTTGCCACTCTGCCATCTTTTTTTTTTTTCAGCTTTAATTGAGTTTATTGGTACATTTTAGGGATACAGTACAGTTACATTAATTGTTGGGATTTTGTACCTCTACATGACAAGTCTTGATTCTCATTTTTTCCCCTTACCCCTACCCTCCCTTCACCCCCCCCTCCACTCCCCACACTCTGGCACCTTAATTAGAACTCTGGAATTTACTTCCTACATATGATTATAAGACTCTTGAGGGCAGGAATTGGGTCAAATTTGTTTTAATATATCCAGCATCTACCATGGTGCCAGATTAATAAGTACTAAGTAATAATTACTGACTGTTGAGATTAATACCCACTAAAAAGATGCATCTAGGACAGCTATGTCTAGGACAATAAATTGAAAAGTTATCTTTTACAAAATTATCCTAAAATTAATTGGAAGGATAAAGGTTTAATAGTAGTCAAAATTTTGAGAAATGTTAACAAAAAGGGATGTAACTAGCTCTAACAGATATTAAAACATATAAAATTATAAAAATTAAACTGTTGTGGTATTGGCACAAGGATAAATAGATAAATCAAAAGGTTAGAAAGACCTGGGTGTATACCAGTAATAAAGATGGTACTTTAAATAAGTGAGGTAGTAAGTCTCATTCAGTAAATGTTAGAAAAATCAACTATCCATTTGAGTGAGGAAGTTAAATTTAAAATCTTATCCACACCCTGCAACAACAATTTTAGCTTAAGTAATGGTGAAAAGTGAAATATAACTATATAAAATGGTTTGGGTGAATATTTTTTAAAGGCTTGATATGGGGAAGGACTTTTTAAGAATAATCCTAAAGGAAACCATCAATTTGACGACATAAAACCAAAACTTCCTGTGTTGAAAAACAAAGTCAAAGGACAAATTTGTGCAAATGTTTGTATATGACAGAGGTTTAATATCCTAGGTAAATAACAATTTCTAACATATTAAGAAGGATAACTTCCCAGCCAGGCACAGTGTCACACACTTATAATCCTAGAACTCTGGCAGGTTGAGGCTGGAGGATCACAAATTCAAGACCAGCCCTAGCAATTTAGTGATTTAGGAAGACCTTATCTCAAAATACAAAAATAAAAAAAGAAGGGCTGGGGGTGTACCCCATTGTGAAGTCTTAAGTTCAAACTCTAGCACTGAAAAAAGATACTCCTGAAAAGAAGGCAGTACAGAAAATGAATGTGCAATTTACAAAGAAAAATGTTTCAAATACAGATGCAACACAAACTCAATATCATTCAAGGATATGTAAATTTTATGGCAAGGATTTTAAAAGAATGTAGTGCTCAAAACTGACAAGGACACGGGTAGTGGGTAGCTTCTCTGCCAGGAGGTGGGGGAGAGAAAGGTCAGGTATAAATTGAGGATAGAGGGCCAGGGATTTAGCTCAGTGGTTCTGGCACCTGTCTCACAAGCACAAGAACCCGAGTTTGATCCCTGATACAAGAAAGAAAGAAAGAAAAAAAGAAAGAAAGAAAGAAAGAAAGAAAGAAAGAAAGAAAGAAAGAAAGAAAGAAAGAAAGAAAGAAAGAAAGAAATTGAGGATAGAGTGTGGGAGAAAGGAATAGATCATAAGACATGGATACCCTAAGGCCCATCAATCCCTAAAGAGGTTGGGCACGGTGTGAATCTTGGCTATCTCAGCTGGAAACCTGATGGATGTTCTTGATAGGATAGAAAATTGGACATCAGGAAAGCAGGGGGAAACAGGTCAAAGAGCGTGCTAAAGACACACAATTGCTGATGCTGTCACAGTAAAAGCAGATTTCCTTTCATTTTGGGAAAACCAGCAATGATTACATCAGGCATCATTCCACGTCTCATGTGTGGTCCCTTTCTAACAGGACAGGCCTTGGGCCTCCCACTCTTTGAGTCCCTTGCTAACCCTTGATAAAGGTTCTGGGATAGAGGTGGGGGGAATAACCTGCTTACTATTTCCTGGTCCTACAGACTGAGAGGAAAGTTCTGGCTTCTGGTAAAACACTAATGTGTTCAACTCCCAGATGGCCTCCATCCAGCTCCCCAGCTGTGCTGGCTAATGCATTGTGGCTTACACAAAAATCGGAGAGTATGTGACCCCATCTGGTGAGGAAATGGGGAATAAAAGATGGGCAAACAGGAGTCAACAGAGGCCTCCTAAGACACACTAATCACTCTGGTCTGGCAGAACTGTGTTTGAGCAGCTACCAAATGCTCAAGGCTGTCAGAATTTGGAGATCATCTGTGGCCATCATGCTAAGGACGTAAAAACCTAAAACCAAGAGACCAGGGCCCCAAGTACATACACACATGGAGAGTAGTGGAGGTTTGCATTCTCTGGCTGACACTGACACGTGGCATTAAGTCAAGTGGCTCCTGACATTTCTGTTGCTGCTACTACAATCTTCTTTTTCAGAAGTAGTGTGGAAATGGGGTGCTAAAAATTAAAATAAAGAGGCAAATCAGTATCAGAAATGGCAGATCAAGATCCTAGTTTCCCCACTGCTACCTTCCTGGAAGGTACTTCAGTATTACCCACAGGCCTTGTTAAATTCAACTTCAAGGACCCTACTGTCTTGTCAGCATGTGTGGCTATGAAGTACCATAGCTCGAATGGCTTGTCAATAACAAGAATCTAGTTTTCATGGTTCAGGAGTCTGCAAGTCTGAGGTCAGGGTCCCGGCAGGATCAGGCTCTGGTGAGGACCTCTTCAGAGAGGCCAATTGCTATTTTCTTACTGTATCTTCACAAGGTGGGAAAGGGGGCTCTCACAGTCCCTTTTGTAGGGGAACTAACAGCATGAGTACCACTAGGCACTTCCCAAAGGTGCTACCAATACCATCCATTTCCGGTTTCAATATCTGATGGTGAGGGAAGTTGCCCATTCAGGCCATCACACTCAACCTCAGAATTTCTGAAGTAGGAACTGAGATACATTTCTAACAAAATCTGAGGTAAATCTGAATGATGTTGCGAGCCTACACTATTGACAGTTACCCCGCTAGGTAATTTAGATGTCCTGGCCCTGTTTCTAGGAATTCCAACTGAAGATTGATTTTTTTTTTAACTTTTATATCTGCCAACACTACATAGACCCTTCCCCTCTAGTTTTTAAAGCATAACATCCTAAAGAGGGTTTTGTTTCTGTTTCTGTTTGTTTGTTTTTTCTACGTCAGGGGTCAAGCCAAGGGTCTCACACATGCCAGTCCACTATTCCACCACAGAACTGCATTCCAGCCCTAAGAAGGGATTCCTTAGCTAGAACAGAAATGATGGTCAGTAGTCCTGGACACTGGCTGCACTGTAGAAAAATGTTGGAAACTGGAAAAAAGGGAAGAGAAGAAGTAAAGAAATCAGGAAACCCAGGCTTCACATCCAAGATACTCTGATTTGATGGGTCTGGTATGTGGCCATGTCAGGATGATATTTTGAAATCTTTCCTCTGACTGTAATCTGTACCTAGGGTTAGGAGTTGCTGGTCTTGGCACTGGTTTTTTTATTTTGGCTGTACTTTAGAAGCACTTGGGGAGCTCTAAGAAATATTGATGCTTGGTCCTACCTTCAGGAAATCCAATTTAATTTTAATAGGATGCAGCCTGGGTATCCAGAATTTTTAAGTATCCCCAGGTGATATGTCTCAAATGCAGGTAAATTTGAATACACACACGCACACACACACACACACACACACACACACACACACACACCCTGCAGCTGGATTTAAAAAGTCAGGTCGCAGCTTGCCCCACTCTCAGACACTCCCTACCATGGTGGTTCTCAAAACGTAGCTCCTGTACCAGAATCAGCCTCCCCCAGGAAAATTTTGGAAGCAAAATCCACAGGCCATACCTCAGACCTAGTGAATCTGCAGCTTGTCACAAGCCCTCCAGGGGACTCTGCTGCCCCCCATAGATAAAGACAGCTACGGTATCATTGTTGCTCTCCTCCTCAGACCACTCCAAGCAAGAAGCAAGGACAATACCAAACCCCAAGTCTCCAGATGAGTAAGGCCAAATTTTCTGGTGTGACTGAGTTTTTATGTAATCTGTAAAGCTTTTGTTGGCTGTGAATTGATGGCATGGTATTAGAAGAGACTGTTGTGGGCTGCAGCTGCAGTCTTCTTGGTCAGCGTAACAACAAAGAGGTGGCAGAGGAGCAAACATGTTCCTTCATTGTCTGGAACATAAAGTGAGAGAGAGTGTGAAACATGGGAGGGAGAAGGAGGAGGGCAAGTGTCTGTGCTGGGGGAGGCCAGGGAGGACCTTGGCTTGGGACATGGTTCTTTCTTTCTTTTTTAGTCTTTATTAAACTTATTGGTACGTTTTAGGTATACAGTGCAGTTACATTCATCACTGGGATCTTGTACCTATACGTGACTTATCAGGTTCTTATTTTTCTCCATTCCCCAGCCCTCCCTTCACCCGCTCCACACTTACCCATTTACAAAGACATTGTTTCCATGTTTTTCCTTTTCACATAGTTTTTCTTTTCCCTTTTTAACTTTCCCCTACCCCTCCCACTTTCTCTATTCTTTTAGACTTTTCTGCCTATTACATGTCAGTTATACATTTTAATCCTTATTTACACGTTTACTTTTTCACACCAGAGAAACTGTTTGGTATTTACACATGTGTGACTCATTAATTTCACTTAAGAGTATAGCCTCAATGTTCATCCACTTAGCTATAAATCTCTCTGGTTTCTCATTCTTTATGGCTGAGTAGTATTCCATTTTATATATAAAAAAAAATCCCACACCTTCTTTATACAATCTCCAGTTGGTGGGCAATTAGGCTGTTTTGAAATTTTAGTTATTAAAAACTGTGCCACTATAAACACAGGTGTGCATATATCATATGTGATATGATTCTTTTAATTCTTTTGGGAAGATAACCCAGCAGAGAGATAGCTGGGTCAAATGGAATCTCTAATCCTAGTTGTTTGAGGTATCTCCATGTTGATTTCCACAGTGGTTGCATCAGTCTGCACTCACACCAACAGTGGAGAAGGGTTCCTTTCTCCCCACAACCCCACCAACATTTGTTATTGGTTGATTTCTTGATAGCAGCCATTCTTTGTGGGGTGAGGTGGAATCTCAGTGTTGTTTTCATCTGCGTCTCTCAAATTACCAGTGAGGTTGAACATTTTTTCATGTTTATTTTTTGCTTTTACTTCTTTGTCTGAGAAATGTCTGTTCATTTCAGATGCCCATTTTTTAATTGGGTCTTTATATTTGGGGATCTGATTTTTTTCTTTTAGTTCTTTGTCTAAGGAACAGCTGGTAATTTTGCCCCCACTGTGGCTTGTCTCTTAGCTCTGGCAGTGCAGAAGCTTTTTAAAAAGATGAGTTCCCAATTATTGATTATTTGTGCTGGTTCTTGTGCTACTGAGGATTTTTTCATAAAGTCTTTTCCTATGCTGATATCTTCAAGAGTTCTACCTAACTTTTCTTCCAGCAAGTTTAGTATTTCTGTTTTAATATTTAGATATTTAATCCCCTTCAATTTTAGTTTAGTGCATAGTGAAATATGTGGGTCTGGTTTTAGTCTTTGACAAGTTGAAATCCAGTTTTTCCTATACCATTTATTAAAGAGGCTATCTTTCCTCCAGAGAGGGTATTTGGCTCCTTTGTCAAAGATGAGGTAGCTGAGTATGTCAGGAGTATTTCTGCATCTTCTAATCTGTTCTACTGATCCTTGGGTCTGTTTCTTTGCCAGTATCATGCTGTTTTTATCACAGTGGCTTTGTAGAATAGTTTCAAATAGGGGATTGTGATATCCCTGCTATGTCTCTGTTGCCTAGAATTGTTTTTGCTATTCTAGGTATCTTCTGATTGCAAATGAATTTTTGGATTGTTTTCTCTAGTTACTGCTGGTATTTCAATAGGGATTGCATTGAATCTGTATGGCAGTTTTGGAAGTATGGCCATTTGCAGTATATTGATTCTTCCTATCCAGGAACAAGGGATATTTTTCCATTTTCTGATATCCTCTTCATTTTCTTTTTTCAGAGTGCTGTAGTTTTCAGTGTAGAGGACTTTTGTTTCCTTTGTTAGATTGATTCCTAGATATTTCAATTTTTTGGATGCTATTATGAAAGGTATTGTTTCCCTAATTTCACTTTCAGTGAGGCTGTTATTTGTGTACAGGAAGGCTATTGATTTTTGAGTGTTGACCTTGTGTCCAGCTACACTACTGAATCTTTCAATCAAGTCTAGAAGTCTTTTGGCAGAATTCTTTGGGTCTTTTATGTAGAGTATCATATCATCAGCCAATAATGACAGTTTAACTTCTTCCTTTCCTATCTTTATTGCTTTTATTTCTTTCTCTTGTCTAATTGCTCTGGCTAATGTTTACAAAATTATATTGAACAGGAGTGGTGATAGTGGACATCCTTGTCTTGTTCCTGATTTTAGTATGAAGGTTTTCAGTTTTTAACTATTTAGTATGATGTTGGCTGTTGTTTTTTCATAGATAGCCTTTATCAAGTTGAGATAAAGACCATCTATTCCAATTTTCTGCAGGATTTTTCATCATGAATGGGTGTTGAATTTTGTTGAATGTTTTTTCTGCATCTATTGGGAGGATCATATGGTTTTTGTCCTTGATTCTGTTAATATAGTGTATTACATTTATTGATTTATGTATATTGAACCATCCTTGCATCCCTGGAATAAATCCAACTTGGTCAGGGTGTACAATTTTCTTGATGACCCTCTTATTCTGTTTGCCAGTATATTATTGAGGATTTTTGCACCACTGTTCATTAAGGAGATTGGCCTGTAGTTCTATTTTTTGGTTGGGTCTTTCCCTTGTTTTAGAATCAAAGTAATACTTGCTTGCAGAAATGAACTTGGTAGTGTTGCTTCTCTTTCAATTTCATTGAAAAGATTAAAGAGTAGTGGCAAATGTCTCGTAGAATTCAGCAGTGAAGCCATCAGGACCCGGGCTTTTCTTCACTGGTAAATTTTTAATTACATTTTCATTTTCACTGTGATTGGGGTGTTCAGAATTTTTATATAATTCACGTGTATCTAGAAATCTGTCCATTTCTTCTATGTTCTCCATTTAATTAGAGTACAGGTTTTCAAAGTAGATATTGATTATCCTCTGGATTTTTGCTGAATCTGTTGTGACTTCACCATTTGTATTCCTAACTGCATGAATATGAGCCCTTTCTTTTGTTTTCTTTTTTTTTTTTTTGATAAGGTTGGCCAAGGGTTTACCAATTTTATTTATTCTTTTGAAAAACCAACTCTTTGATTCATTGATTTTTTTCATTGTTCTCTTAGTCTCCATTGCACTGATTTCTGCTCTGACCTTTATTATTACATTCCTTGTATAAGCTTTGGGTTTCTTTTGCTCTTCTTTTTCTGGGAGCATAAGATTCAGCATTAGGTTGTTTATTTGAGCTTGCTTTGTGTTCCTGTGGGCATTCACTGCTATGAATTTCCCATGTAAAACTACTTTCATTGTATGTTGTACTGGCATTGTCATTAAATTGTAAAAACTGTCTAATTTCTTCTTTAATTTCTGCTGTGAATTAGAGTGTTATCAGCACTAGAGAGTGAATCAGCAGAGTGTTATTCAATTTCCATATGCTTGTATAGTTCTTATGCTATTGATCTCCAGTTTAATTGCACTATAGTATAATAATATAAATGGGATAGCTTCAGTTCCTTGGCACTTACTTAAACATGTTGTATGAGCTAGTATATGGTCTATTTTGGAGAATGATCTATGTGCAGTCAAAAAGAATGTATATTCTGATTTTGTGGGGTGGAACACTCGGTAGATATCTATTAAGTTCATTTGTTCAAAAGCTTGGCTCAGTTCTAGTATTTTGTTGTTGAATTTTAGTCTATATGATCTGTCTATTTGTGACAATGGGGTATTAATGTCCCCACTACAATTGTATTAGTGCTTATTTGGTGTTTCATGTCCCTTAATATTTGTTTTGTATAGTTGGGGGCATTAGTATGTGGTGCATGTTTCTTGGATGCCAGTGAGCTTCAAGTTTGTGTCAGGTACAGGTCAAACCTGTTTTCCTGTACATAGGGACCTGCTTGCTTGCTAAGGAAGGAAAACTAGTGTGTACTATGTTAAACAATGAAAGAAAACCTCCTTTGTCACTTTAGAGCCGGATCCAGTAAAGAAACACACAACAGCCTGGAGAATATGGCAGTACCAACATCTTGTACAAAGGAAGCTTAGCCTGCATAATAAAGGACTGTTTCATATTCCCTTTAGCTCATTCTAATATGGTGCAGCCCTTGTTAGCTTCTGAGGATGCCAAAGTCCAAATGGCATAAAGCCAGTCTTCAAGGAGCAAGTGGTCTAGTAGGAGAGAGAAGCAAGCAAGTTTATTTCTGCAGCAAGTGATGATTGTCAAGTGAGTTTGGTACAGTGGGAATACAGAGGGGTGGAGGTGAGGTGGTCAGGGAACATTCCATGAGAGCAGACACTAGTGCTGGATTTTGAGAGGGAAGTAAGTTGTTTGGCAGTTGCCCTAGTCTGTTTTCTGTGGCTGTACCAGAACTCATGAGAGTGGGTAAGTTATAAATTAAAAAAGTATTTATTTACACAATTCTGGCATCTGGAAGTCCAAGACCCAGAGGTCACATTTAGCAAGGGCCTAGTGCAGCTTCATTTCAAGCAGAAAAGCAGAAGGACAAGTGAGAGAGACAAATACAAAGGGCAGACTTGCTTTGTAACACCCCGCTTTTGGGAGAAAGGCATTAGTCTGTTAACCAGGGCAGGGTTCCCATGACCTACTTACTGCTTTGAGTTCCTGCCCCCTCTCAATCCTGCCCCCATGGAGACTCATTTCAGCACGCGTTTCAGGGGGCATAAACCATATTCAAAGCACAGCAGTGATTGAGGTAGGTAGAGGATTTTCCACTTAGGCAGGGGTCCCATGGGGCAAAGTAGTATATCAAGCATTGTGAGCTCTTGGTAGCTCAAAATTATTAGCAGAAAAGTCATGGAAGGAAAGGAGCAGGGG